AGCCAGTGGCCAGCTGAAAACACCGCAAGAAGAGGAGGAGAGCGTTGATCTGCTGGCTTGAGGCATAGCAGAAGACAAAGGTGTTATCCACATAATGGAGGTGGGAGATGATGGGCCGTAGGTGCTGGTTTGGAATCCCCTCAGAGTTCCTGCTTGGTAGAGCTTAGAAATGGAATTGCTGAACACTTTGGCCACGATAGCAAAGAGGAAGGGTGACAGGGGGCCCCCTTGGCGAATGTCCTTGGAGGTAGGGAAGAAGTCCTTCGGTGATGCATTGATCAAAACTAAAAAAACAGAACTGGAGATATACCCATGCTACCATTTTCTCCATTTGGCACCAAAGGCTATCCTCCATAGGGTCTCTTTAAGGATTGACCAATCGACGTGGTCATAAGCTTTCTCTCAATCTAGTTTTAGGATGGTGTCAGGGACTTCTGAGATCCGACTGTGGATGCACTCATGAGCTATGGGTGCCTCGTCAAGGATTTGATGGTTCCTTAACAAATGCTTCTTGTGTAGGAGAGATAACCCAGTTGAGAACAACCTTTAGCCGAGTTGCCAAGACTTTGGATAGGGGTTTGTAGAAGCTGTTAATCAGACTAATTAGTTGAAAGTCTTTGAGTTCCTCTTCTCCTTCAACCTTCGGGATAAGGGCTATGAAAGTTGCGTTCATGGCTTTCCCCACCGCTCTTCTAGAATGGAACTTAGAGAAGAAGGCGAGGATATTAGGCCGAAGAGTTTACCAAAAGGATTTAAAGAAAGCCATGGGGTACCTGTCCAGCTCAGGGGCACAGTCGGGATTGAGGTCTTTGATGACAACCAATATTTCTTCGTCAAAGAATGGTCATTCTAAGCTGCTGGCTTGTCTTGGGAAAAGGAAGGACAAGTTGTCCATGGTGAGTCGAGGCCCTGGCTGAGCAGCAAATAGATGGGTAAAGAACTGAACTGTAGCATGTTCAATGAGCTGGGGTTGTTCTAGACTTTGAGGTTCTCTTCTATGGAAGTTTGCTATCTTCTGAAAATATCCATTATTGAGATCATCGAGTGTCATCCATTTGACCTTGGCAATTTGGGCCCAATAGGTTTAAATTCCCATCTAATCCACTTTTTCACCTTTTCATATTTTTTAAAATTTATGCAAAACTAATAGGAGCTAGGCAGGCTCAACCACTAAGGCCTAGTTTTCTAGGGTTGGGCTGGCTGGGCGCGCCGGTCCAGGTTGACATTGCAAACGCTAATTCATCATAGGTCTTTTCTAACTTATTTTTGCCCAAATCCTATTTCAGCTATTACATCGACGACAACATGGGAGAATCATAGTTACAGGGCTCTCTTAATCTAGGTGTCGATCTTGCTTCAGTATCACACTTCACCTCTCCCGAATAGAGATCTCCATGGTCTTTCTCTCTCTCTCTCTCTACACACACACACACATGCCCTTGGTGATGTGTAGCATAGACCTAATCAATACAAGAATATGTGTAGCATAGACTTAATACAATACATTGGTTAGGAGGTACAATTTGGTTAAAGTGGAAGGCTCTAAAAGGGCAAGAGGAAGGCCCAAAAGGATGATGGATAGAAGTATTGAGAAAAGATGTGGTGACTTTTGGTCTTATTAAGGGTATGACCCTTGATAGAGAAGAATAGAAGAACAACCCCAATTAATTGGGATAAGGTTTGGATGTTAATGATGATATACGTACCTTGATTTTTGGGAGTCCAATCCCGAATTTTTAAGGATCATTTGTAGCCACTCGTAGGAGTATCAAAATGCTAAGAAGATGATTCATCTATGTTGAGAATGATGATTCATCTGTGTTAAAAGTCCATTTATTTAAGTTCTAGGACCTAAGTGTCCTTTCACTCGATCCGGATCCAGTTATGGGTCCAAGATTTGGATCTCTTGGACCCGAATAGTATTCAGTCTGGGTCTAAGTCTAGGTTCGGGTCTGGTGTGTATGTGGACCCAACCCAAATTTTATTAACTTATTTTAAATATATATTTATAGTTATATAAATAATGAATATATATTTAACATATTTATGAAATAGGAAAGTATATAATGAGACCATTTACCTTTGGTACAAGGTGGTCACAATTAATCTTGACCATTGGATGTGAAATTGGGTGGCTGCATTTATTTCATTAACAAAGCTCGAAGTTCAAAAGAATTTTTCATGATCTTTGTGACATACCCAAGCTATCAAATTTCACATCAAATGGTTGTTAGTAATTGTGACCTCCCTGTACTAAAGGTAAATGGTCATTGTATACAATCCCTTATGAAATATATGTTTAGTCCCCACTGTTATTCTTTTATAAGATGAACGGTGGGGATTAATCCTCTCATAACTAACTTTACTCCATTTTTTTAGGGTTTCGATATCTCTCTCTCTTTCTCCTCTCCTTTTCTTTTGATTTTTGAGCAGCTGCTCCATCTCGTCTTGTTGCCACCCCTATTTGTTGGGGGAGGGAGAGAGCCAATTATGATTGGCTTTGTGGAGAGACTGTAGGATTAACTTTGTGGAGAGAGGTACAATAGGGTTGGCTTTGTTTAGAGAGAGAGAGAAAGATCAGGTTTACAAAGTTCGAGAAAGAAAAAGAGAATTGGTTTGTGGGTTAGGAGTATGCGAGAGAATGAGTTTAGGCTTTATTCGTGTGAGAGATTGTTTTTTTGTGTGTGTGTGTGTGTGTGTGTGAGAGAGAGAGAGAGAGAGAGAGAGAGAGAGAGAGAGAGAGAGAGGAGGAGGTAGTAGTATATATATATATATATATATATATATAGTAGTAAGTAATTAAGTTAGGTTAGGTTGTTAGTTAGTAGTACGTACTAACTAACTAACTACTACGTACGTACTACTACCTTAACTTAACTTTAATTA